GATAAAGAGAATTTTATAAAGATTCTTAATCAGTTTTATCCCCCCAAATACTTCCAAAATGTATTTTAGAGAAGTAGCTCTAAAAGTATACTGTTCTTTTACATCCTAATAAACAGGGAACCCTAAACACAATCAAACCTTTACTCCTGCTAACATTCAAGTCTTGATGCCATCGAACAACAGAGCTTCCCAGCCCTAATTTCCCACAAACCCTCTGCTCTAACCAAACTAATGAGTGTTCTCATTGCTCACACCCAAGAGAGCCTTCCTGCCTCTTTAATGACCCAGCCACTGCTGGTCACTACGGCTGGAAATGACTGTTGCATTCAATTGCTCCTCTTACTGGGCTACCTTTCTAAGTATCTATCCATCCCGAAGCTCTTCAAAAGCCACTCCTTTCCTTGCCCAGGGCCTAGTACAGCACAGACACACAGTATATTCACAATGTATGTTTTTGAGGATGAACTCAATGAAAAAGAAAGTATAGTGTGAAGGGATAATCTGGAGACTACTGAGATATTAGCTGACTGTCCCTAAACTGTCCCACACTAGTCAGCAGTTATAACTAATTAATCTTCCATTTCCTTAAACATTGTTAGATGTTATTTCTCAAATGTTTCAGCCCCTAGTAGCCCCTTTCTACTACTAATAAGACACTGAATTTTTATAATATAATTACCCATTGCAAAGGGCTTTGAGCCAGTATACTTGCAATGGAACATGCCTTAGCACAATGCAGCCATGATGCTGGGAAACAAACAAAACGCTGTAAGCACACAGAATAGGTTATGTCCCTACTGATTCGCTGATTCAACAAAAAATCTGTTGAGAATCAGGCTAACCAGAGTACTAGTGACACAGCAATGAGCAAAATAAATGCAGGCACAAGAAAAATCTTTGTTTTCATGGAGCTCACTTTCCAATTTTATTTGAGAAATACAAGTAAGAGAAAGGATAATATGAAAAGTAGAGATGAGTATTCAGACAAAAAATAAAGCGTGATAAGAGGCCAGAGGGTGAGAGGGAAGCCGAGCAGCACTTTCTAAGAAGCAGACCTTTGAGCGGAAAGAAGCTTGATAGACATACGGTCAGGACACAAGCCTACAGAGATCTGAGGGGAGATATTTAAGGGCAAAGGCCTTGGAGGCAGGAGGGGGTGGGCAGGTTCCAAGTTAGCAAGGACACCAGCGTGCTGAACTAGAATGAGTGGTGCGACAGGGTTAACAGACACCCTCTGCACTCGACAAAAAATAGACACACACAATCCCCGACAAGGGCAGTGAAGGCAATCACTTATGAAAATCTCATCTTTACCAGTACTTAACTTATGAAAAAGCTAGGTAAGGTTTCTTAGATTAAATTATAATGTAAAAACCTGCAGGTGAGGGCCAGGCTGATGAAGGAGAATGCACCAATGGACCCCAGAGGAAGAGGCTGCCTGTCTGGCCGGGGCCCACAGAAAGGCCCACTCTGAGCAGATGTCCCAGGGGCCTGTCAGAGCGGTGGCACCAGAGAACAGGAGGAGGGCCTGTCCTGACAACGGCATCGTCATTTACAACTAACAGTGAGAGCTCTGAAAAAACTACAGCAACAAAAACAGGCAAAAAGACAGAAAAGGAAAAAAATCCAGTTCTAGCCACCAAAACGACTTCTATTTCATAATTAAAAAGCATCACAATCTCCGAAGCATAAGTTTGGGGTCCATACAATCTAACTGCTTCGATGCTAGGACCCCACTTAACCTGCACCACTGGTGGAGTCCCGGGGATTCAGCCATTACAGTAACGCTAAGAGCTGACACACGGTCACACTCTAAGTGTGCTGCTTTCAGCTCTGTCCTGCCAACGCCTTCTTCTTAGGATCCCCTCTATTAATGTCCTGAGAAAAATACCTTTATCTTACTTTATTCCTTTCTCACTCACTTCCTTGAGATCAAGGAGCAAGTCTAAAAATTATAGACAAGGCTTTACTTTTGGAAGACAATTCGAGTGGATCAACCCACTATAGACTGAAAAATGTCAAATCATAAGCCCATGCATGACTTAATCTTTACTTTAAATATATAAATGCTGAGAGGAGATAAGGAAGGAATCCTGTAAGAAGGGCAATTTTAACCCAACTGAAGATTAACAATCTCGGAGAATTAATATTTTATCAAGAAATCCAAACTACAATATTGACTTAAAAGTCAATTTTCATCATTATTCCTTCAACTTCTGAGAGTTTAGGAAGTTAATTTAAAATTCAGCTTATAGATCTCTAAATATCTATGTTCTCGATAAGCACTTGCTTTCAATATTAACAAAATGATTTCACAGTAAGCTAGTCTAGAGTCGCCCCCGGTGGCCGAGAGAACCAGACTCCTCTTGCTGTTGGCCTGTGAGTGCGGCACTGGCATGCCGGGGTTAACGTGGAAGCTGAGACAGCTGATGCTCAGGTGAGAGCATCCGGTTCCCATATGTCACTGTTCCTCCTTAAATTATAAGCTGACCTGTAACGCTGCACTATAGTTACAGTGGATGAGACACTGCGAGAGTAGTTTGCTTTCACATGGAAACAGTTACCAAGACAAACCTTGGAGGATGGAGTTCCAAGAATATTAAATCATAAGAAATTGTTTCAGCAGCTGGTTAAAGCCGAGTGTACATAACACAAGACATCTGGTTGTCTGTGCATTTTCAGTTCATTTAAAAAGTATAAACACATTAAAACACTGAAATGTCTGATATATTACAACACTGTCTGCTTGCTCCCCAAGAGTGTTTAAGTGGCTGGTCTAGTCACTGTACTCAAGGCTTATTTACTAGCTAAAGGGATTTACTATTTCCATCCCCCTTAACTTCAAGATACATTATCAACCAAGGAAAAAAAGAAGATATTGCTGGTATTTATAAGGACATAATGTAATAGAGGTAGTGCTGTTTGTAAAATTAAATCAGGAACACATGAAGCATCACACATACTATGACAAGTAAACAGCAGACAACGTGCTCTCCCTCCCACATCTGACCATATGGAACAGAAACCTAACCACAGTGGCTTAACCAAAATAAGGGTTTATTTACTTCATGTAAGAAGAAATCCAAAGAGAAGCGATCTAGGGTTGGTGTAATAGTTCCAGAGTAACATCCATACCCCCATGCTCCCGGGACACTGTTCTTTGCATGCTGCAGTCATCATCATACTTTTAAGATGCCTAAATGGCACCTCCACATACCAGGAAGGAAGAGAAGGACAAAGAGCAAAAAGCTAAAGGTAAGTGCTCTACAAGCTGCCGACTTCTCACATAAAACTGGCCCAGACTGTCACAGGGCCACATTTCAGCACATTCAATTCCCAAGGTGCCTGAACACAAAGCTGGGCATACACTGTCCCCCACAATACTGGAGATCTGTTAGAAAGGAGGGTGAGGGCCCTAACCGGTTTGGCTCAGTGGATAGAGCGTCGGCCTGCAGACTCAAGGGTCCCAGGTTCGATTCCGGTCAAGGGCATGTACTTGGGTTGTGGATACATCCCCAGTAGGGAGTGTGCAGGAGGCAGCTGATTGATGTTTCTCTTTCATCGATGTTTGTAACTTTCTATCCCTCTCCCTTCTTCTCTAAAAAATCAATAAAATATATTTTTTAAAAATAAAAGTAATAAAAATCATCATTCTACCCTTTAAAAAAAAAAAGAAAGAAAGAAAGGAGGGTGAGGAAAGGATATAAGGCATGCTAATCGCTGTGTCCGTCGCAAGAGCTCATCATGCATGGGCCCCGCCTTCCAAGCTGTACAAGCTCCAAACCAAAATAGGGTTTGGCGGATCCCGTTTCTAAATCTACATTACAATCCTGGATGCTGCACTTATGCACAACAGAGGCCAGGAGCCCATTTCCCACCAATACCTGTCTTTCCTTTTTGAACTATAGGCAAATAGCACATTTCCAACGATATCCCCATGTAGATTGAGATTCTATGATGATAAATCTTAAAGTCAACTTCTTTATTTAAAACATAATTTCTTTAAAATATGCATTTTCAACGGAGATGTTATGACCCACCCCCCTCCCCCCCGAGAATAAAAATTAGTTCTTTAAGGTGAAAAACGTCACAGATATTATAATGATTCATGGTGCTCCAAGCGGGGAGGGGCAATTAAGAAAAAGAAGTCTAAAAGGGTTCCTCAAAGAGACAATTTTTAAAAAGGTTTACCGTAACTGCTCTAAAAATAACAAACATTTTGAACCATGCTGGAATGGCATTCAGTTGCAGTGACAGAAATCCATTACCATAAACAAATAAGGGTCTATGTTTCTCACATGAGAAGTCCAGAGGGCGACAGGGGGTGGGGAACTAGTAGTTGATGACTTTGGATCAGCAGCTCAATGGCATCAAAGCAGAATTTTCGGTGAGTCTCTTGGCTCATGGCGCCAAGGTGGCCACATAATTCAAAGGACCATGTTCACATTCCAGACAGCAGGAAAGAGGGCTGTCAAGAACAGAAAGATAGGACTCCTGGGGGATCCAGGTCCCCTTAAAAGAGCTTTACTCATACTTCCATGGAGAAATTCCCCCTACATCTCAATGACCACATCTACCTTCAAGAAAAGATAGACATGAAAATCCAAAACTGGCCATTAATCAAAGCAGGACACAAGAAAGAGGGGAGAACAAGTAATGGGTGAACTAGCGGCACCTACCACATATGAATTTGTTTCTAATTGCTTTTCTCTCAAACCCATGTTAACAGAGATTTGTAAGTTCATTTATTACAGACATTAATCTAATTCTGTGCCTACCATATGCTTAGTATTATTAACAACTTAAAATTGTTTTGATGATGGATAGTCAGAGTATAAATATTACTGGGCAAGAGAGATAAAAGAACTTTATGAATGTACTACCCTTAAAAGGCATGCATAAAAGTGCTACACGAGGGCCCACAAACTCTTCAACATCACCAATTACCATCTTCACAATACAAAGAAGATAAAACAAGTCCTGATGTAGCCAGAACTTACATGAGTGGAATATCAGTGATTAACTGCAT